GGGGGGGGGGGGTGTGCTTGTGCGCTTACTTGAGGCAAACTTATGACCAATTAAGCATGGACAGAAATCAAGTCAGACAACCTAGAATCTTCGATAACATTTTAATTTTAATAAAAGTACCTCTGTCAAAATGAATACAATTGAAAGAATAATGAGGTATCCTGACAGAGATTTTCAATGTGAAAGTCAATTTTGATGGAATATCGATAAAATATTAATTTCGATGTCGATGAAGTTGGTCAGCCATAATAATCCCTCCATCTCTAAGTTTCCAAGGAAAACTTAAATTTTCTTTGGATAAGGGTCTTCATAAATTACCAGATAAAAGAATGTTTGCCGTTGGCCCCTGGGTATGAATTAAGTCTCCCATCAAAGATCTATCTGAGAACTTCTTTGTAGAATCAATTGGCCAACACCATGATTTATTTTCTGCCTTCAAGGTGACCGATTACAGTAGCTGAGGAGATCAACCCATTCTAATATTTCATCATCTTTTGAGGTTTCTCAGGCCAAAATCCCAAGAAATTTTCTGGTTCATTGACCTTGAGCTCTAGCCTTCCTTACTCTAAACCATCTGACAATTGGTTTGCTGATCCAAATAAGTCACCGAAGTCTCCGAAGAAACTTGTTATCCTCAATCAAATATAAAAACCTGCCTACTTCCAACTACGGGGTTGCTTACCGCGAAACAATTTTCTAACATGGAATTTCAGGGGCCTTGGTTCATGGAAGAAATGTGCATTGGCAAAGCCTTTATTCTCCAACACAAATCAAGCATTGCGCTTGGATCCTCGAGTGTAATACTTATCCTTTTGAACAACCTGTTCTTCAATGTATTGGAGGTCATTGAAGGTGCTTTCACCCTTTCCTTTTTAATTTTCTTTGACTGATGGTTGTAAATTATGGCACACTAACGGTCCTTCCAACGCGTCCTTCTAAGGCCCCAATTCTGGCAAGAGGTCCCTAATTTCTTCTTTTTTTAGTACTACTGACTGATCTTTTCTATGTACTGATACCGTGATAGTTGGATCCTTGGTGGGGATTTTAATGCCTCTGGCTGATCCCATGAGAAATCTAATGGTAAACCTCCCACTTGCAGCATGAATCATTTCATCCGTTCCATTTAATCAATGATTTATTGACAGACTTTCCCTGTAAATGGTAAATTTTCTTGGTCTAGCCTTCAGAATATGCCTGCCCAATTGCTGATTAAAAAAAAAAAAATCATAGCTTCCAACTCTTGTATATCAAATTTTTCTAGTGCATCAGTTAAAAGGTTTGATTGAATTACCTTTGACCTCTACCCTACTATGATCACCTTTAGAGCTGAAAAATGGGGCTATCATCCTTTAAGTTTGAGAATACATGGATGCAGCATCTTTCCTTTTAACTCTCTCATGAAGGATAGGATTGGTGGAACAAATAACTCCTTAAAAGGCTGGCTTGGACATAGAAGCTTAGAGAACTGAAAGAGGCTATTAAATCTTGATGCTTTTTTATGCATAAAAATCTATAAATCCATTCTTTCTAGTGATCTCCAAGCAATCGATGTACTCAGGAATTTGGGAGCTTCAGACACAACTTTCTTGAAAAGAATCACCATCAAGGAACAGCTCCTAGACTTGGAAGCAACGGAGGAAACACTTCTGGGAGACAAAGATGTAAATTTAAAGGGTTGAGGGAAGGAGATGAGACCACTGGATTTTGTATCTGACGTGTGGCAATTTATTCACATGGTTGGTGAGCAAAAGGCGTTAAATTCAGGGGTTGTGCATAGGAAGGATTTATTTCCAGTCAACAAAGGTAAACACGTCTTGCATAGAGAGAATATATATTTCCCTCTAGTTGGTGAAATTCTTCCGATACTTCATTAATGGGATAGAAAATCATCCAAAGGGTCCTCCCTTTTCTCTCTATTCAAACAAAGTATATGCACTTTCAAAATTGAAGGATGTGATGATGTCTTTGGTGATAGTGTAGTAGAGTCGGTTGAGGAGGAGTTTATGTAACACCTACATTTTTAAGAAAATAAATAAAAGAATTTTCAAAATAAAAGAAAAAAGAGAAGGAAAGCAAAATGACACGCATGCAAGTTGGAGAAGATAACCATACAATCAACGGTTAGTTTCTCGACCTACATCCCTTTTTTAAAGAATTTGAAGCTAGCCATTTTCACCAGTTTTATTCTCTTGACTCTTAATTTAGGGCATATTGAGGAATTTTGGAGAATTTGAAATTCTTGACGACTCGAACCAAGCTCAAGAGGTCAACAAACAAATAAGTAACCACATGGAACAAGTTTTAAAAAATACTTGAAGGAGTGGAGTAGGACCATGGGCAAATGATTGGAAATCATGTTTAAAAGCCTAGTTAAGCTAGTTTCAATGATAGCTAAGCCTAGAAAACTTGCCAACATGCCATGGTTGATTCACTACCCCTTGTTTGAGCATGTTGAGCATGATGTATGTTTATATATGTTTATAAATGCATGATTTAGAGTTTGGGAACCCATATATGCCTAATTATGCTATGTGCTCTAGAATACATATTATGAGTATGTTCGAAATCATGTTTAACTCTGATAGAGTTAATATGTTTATAAGTTTTCCAACATGCCATTGTTGATTCACTACCCCTTGTTTGAGCATGTTGAGCATGATGTATGTTTATATATGTTTATAAATGTATGATTTAGAGTTTGGGAACCCATATATGCCTAATTATGCTATGTGCTCTAGAATACATATTATGAGTATGTTCGAAATCATGTTTAACTCTGATAGAGTTAATATGTTTATAAGTTTTCCAACATGCCATTGTTGATTCACTACCCCTTGTTTGAGCATGTTGAGCATGATGTATGTTTATATATGTTTATAAATGTATGATTTAGAGTTTGGGAACCCATATATGCCTAATTATGCTATGTGCTCTAGAATACATATTATGAGTATGTTCGAAATCATGTTTAACTCTGATAGAGTTAATATGTTTATAAGTTTTCCAACATGCCATTGTTGATTCACTACCCCTTGTTTGAGCATGTTGAGCATGATGTATGTTTATATATGTTTATAAATGTATGATTTAGAGTTTGGGAACCCATATATGCCTAATTATGCTATGTGCTCTAGAATACATATTATGAGTATGTTAGGCCACATACTGTTGTTCTACGTTATTATCTAGTTTTAGAGTTCACTAAACATTGGGTTGACTAGGTATCTCATAGGGGCGATTAGGGTGCAACCCCTATTCGTGAACTAGCTAAGGGGAGTTAGGATCTACTTGATACACAAAGTCAGTTATCACCTATAGAGAATCCCAAGAGTCATAGAGAGTATACTACTGAGGCAACTACAGTTGTGTCTACTGGGGAGTCATGACCTTATACTGTTATAACCCGAGAGGGTGGGATAACAGGAATATTACCGTTTCCGCCTGAAAAGGCGATACAACAAGTAGTTTATTGTTTCCGCTTGAAAAGATGATGCAACAGGTAGTTAACTGTTTCCACAATGTAATAGGTAGTTTGTTGTTTCTACTTGAAAAGGCAATGCAACAAGTAGTTTACTGTCTTAGCCTTAAAAGACGATATGGCAGGTAGTTTACTGTTCCTAAGACCTAGTTTACTGTTCTAACCCAAGGAGGGTATATGAACAAGCAACTTACCGTTTCTACCTAAAAAGGTGATGCAACAGGTAATTTATTGATCTTAAGACTACAAAGTTGTTGCACGACACCACTAGGGTGAACCTTTTGATTAGAGCTCAGTAGGCAATCACGTGCAAAGTGCAGTTACCTTATTAAGAGCAAAGGGCTCCTCCATACTTATAAGATTTAACCTAGGCACAATTAGCATAAGGTTGAGGATGGACCTAAGAGAACGTAAAGCATAGCCCTTCATAAGGGTCATGTATTTCAGAGCCCTTCCTAAGGGCCACGTATTTCAGAGCTCGTCATGAGGGTCATGTATCTCAGAGCTTGACATAAGGGTCTAAGTAAACTAGAGCTTGCTAAGAGCCTAATAAGTACTCTTAGGAAGTAGTAGTGCATAGAGTTATGCATAAGCCTTATATGGCAAGAATAGACTAGAGCTGAAGTATAAGTACCGAGAGCCTACAAGTAGGTTGCTTACTTACTATTTTTATACTTATTCCATGTTATTCTATTTTTTCAGATGGAGTACAGACCATTGTTGATAGCGGGAGCGTCGGAGTCATGCAGCTACAAGGGGTGCCCTTTTAGATCGAGTCGTCATCCTTCTTGTCATTTTATTATTATTTTAAATGTTTCTTCTTGAAACTTATGTATCTTTTGTAAACCGTTTACTTAACTCCTTGGATATTGCTTGTACCTTTAACTACTTTTATGTTGGTTTTGAATGCATATTTAAATTTTAAATTTCTTGTGTCTCCTATTTTACAAAAGAAAATTTAACCGTCCTTTTTACCCTTGAGCGTACGTGGAAACCTGTGATTCGAGACATCGAAAATTGGGTCGCTACAGTTTATTCCATTGAATCAGTCGAAAACTGGCTGCCAATCCAAGGAGTTTTCAGTCACTTGTCAAAGTGAAAAATTATTTATTAACCAAAAAGACTCTAACCCATGTTTAAAGGGCAGGGAATATATGGAAGCACAAGGAGAGAAGATTATAAGTAAAAAACTAAGAAAACCCAAGAAAAAGAACATAGAATAATAAATTTGGTTCTAACCATATGCAGGCGGATTAGCAATTATTGCATCTGCTTTAAATGGAATTTTAGATTCTGGATCGTCATCCTGGCATGCAGGAAGCAATGAGAAAATAATATCCTTCAAATGATTTCGTTGGGCATGTATCTCCGAAGGTCCAGATGGAAGGAATCCTTTGTTCTTAACCATATCTGTAAGAAATAAGCAATACCCAGAAGAGAGTTAGTAGCATAGCTAGCTTTTTCAAAGAGGCAGCAGGAGAGGAGTGTATGCAGATTATGTCCATCATTGTTGTGTCTTTCAGGTGCAGTTCTTCTTTTTCTTTTTCTTTTTTCACTTTCTAAATAAATACTGATGTGTTCATTGCCTTCATTTCCACAGCATTTTGAATGTGTTCATTGCTATAGCCTTTTGAATGTGATGCAAAAACATATGGGAAAATAATCAGAGCACTTACAATCTGCAAGAACTTTAGCATCTCCTCCTAAAGGAAAGAACTCCAGTCCAGTAGAGAGTACAAAATCTTTAAAATTTGCATGAGTTGCCAATCTAACTCTATGGCCATACTCCTGCAAGTAATGTATCATCTGTCAACTTAAAATTAAGTTAACCTATCAAGTTTTTTGAAGAACAGGGCCTGTATCTTAATGCATATTTAGAAAGGGTTCATGGGATTTGATTAGGAAACCAATTCCTCAGTTCCATGTAGGAAGCATATTAATCCTTTGCTACAATCAAAACGGGACAAAAATTTAGTTGATCAGTACAAACTTCTATACTACAACAAGATCTAACCTAAAAGTTCCAACAGAAAATTAAGCCAATATGAACGAAACATTTGCAAGTCACAATGCCTAAAGTGTCAAACGCAGATAATATAGTTTGGATAATATATTTTGGAAGCCAACAAATTATGTTATAAAAATATAATAAGAATTCTAATTAAAGTTATTAGTAATAGATATAAATATATTAGGTTTGTATTTAATAATGCTATTTTATTATATAAACCTTAAGAGGTTAGGAGTAAGTATGATATCAATCCACTTGTTTTGCACTACACATAGAAATATAAAATTTTCAAACGATTCAAGATGCACTATACATGTGTGTGTGTGCGCGCATGTATAAATGGCCCCCTTGCATTATATAAGTCAACCCCAGGCACTGGGACCATGCAAATGTTGATGAGGTATCACATGAATTTACAACTAGAGGTTAACATACAAAGAACATTGAACTTAAATAAAGACTTAGTAGTTAAGTAGTGAAGCCAGTACTACCGTGACATTTTCTTTTCCACAATGATACTCTTTTTTCCTCAAAATATTGTAGCATGTTTATAAATTGTTCAACTTTTAATTTCAAGAAAAATTGTAAAGATATCCAATTTTTATTATTTTGTCTCATTAAAATGCCAAGGGGAGGCATGTAATGAGTTAAAAGGTTCAAAGTTCACAACAATACAACACCATAAGGGCTTCACAAGGTTTGTTAGATTATATCTCAGCCAAGATCATATCTGAAAAAAATCGCATGTAACAAGGCAATGGTGATAAAATTGTTAAACCAATACATGTAAACAAAAAATAATAATAATAATAAAAACGAAAGGTCAACAAATGAAAAATCAGTTAAAATTAGATAAAAGAAACAGAGAAAGTGAGGAGAACCTGCAATCGCTTCCCAATGGCAACGAAAGGTTGTACATCCCCTCTTGTACCAACTATGAGCATCACAATTTGTAGTGGGGGGGTGAATGGAACGTCTAGGGGTTCATCTTCTACAGCTCCATCATGCATAATACCAGTTTCAAAATGGAAGTTTTCCGATTGAATGCCTTCTGGAACTTCCATTTGCACAGTTCCATCTTCTTGAACTGTGGCAACCTTTTTCAACAACTTGAGCTGCAAACACAATTTTGACTTATAACTTTGTAAGAGGAGCATATAATTATAAAATATATTTGTCCAAACAGAGAAGATGTACACTACATCATAGTAAATTTTTTTCAAGTTTTATGGACTTGGCAGGTGTAAGGGTGAAGTAGGTCAGGTGACCAAAGGATTGGGAAAAATTGAGGTTGAGAAGGTTTGTGCTTTCAAACTTTGTTTTTAAAGTCGAAGGTGGATTAGGAAAAGGAGCAGATATCGAAGGCAATGGGCATGTGAGAGGTGTGTCAAAGGGATTTGTGCTAGAAGAGGAAGTAGGTATGGTAGGCTGTACGGGGAAATCAGATTGAGGTACAAAAGCTTGTGGTGAGGGGTCAACTGATGGAACAGGGAAAATTAACATGAGAATGTGGCTCCATGATACAGTTCTGATAAAATTGTGGAAGGCACATGTGAGGTCTGTACGCACGAGTGAGGTGGGTTTTTGAATCATTGCAGGGTGCATGGATTCAATCTCCAAAGAAACTTGAGGAATTTGGCCATGGATTCCAGCATCATATCAGATGTGAGGATCTTGATTAAAGAATGGATCAACATAAACCAACATGGGTGCAGATGAGGTTGATGGCAGATACAGTGGCTGGCACAAAACTGAACAGGTTTTCTTTGATCTTTCTAGATAGAATTTTGATGACTCAAACAATAGATGAGGAGTCTTTAGAGGCTGGTCCTTTGTCCCTGACTGTGTTGAGGTATAAGGTCGTGAGTCGATCTTATGATGATTGGCCTTTCACGTTGAGGCAATAAATGAAGTGTTGGCATTAAAGGATGTGGGATGGTGGTTGCGGAGGTCCTTTTAAGAAGAGCAAGGAACTGCTTCCGGCCAGTCTTGTTTTCACCAATAGATTTGATAATCTTATTTAAGCCTCATTCACTCCAAGCTTAGCAATCTCTACCCAATGGCCTATCCTATTGGATATCTTTTTGATCCAAAGCACATATTTATCAAGACGACTCTCTTTAAAAAACTTTTGGTTTAAGGGCAGTCTATTAGTGTAGTGAAACCAGTGATCAACCAAGAATGAGATCAATTTTCAGAGTAAAGGTGAAGGATTAGTCTCTTGATGATTCAATGATACAAAGGTCACAGCTTTCGTCAATGGATAAGGTCTTACGAATCATTGAGAAGAATAAAGAATCAAGTTAGCTGGTTGGGTGACATGTGAACAGTGGAAAGGGTGTGGGATGGGAGAGATGTACGGAGAGAAAAGAAATGATAAGTTTGTTGTTTATGTCTAGTTGATCTTGAACGACTATCATTTTTAATAAAAGTGTGTGCATATATGTGTGAGAGAGAGAGAAAGCAGAGAATTGAAACCCAATGTAATATCTGTTTTTTAAAAATAAATGAATAAATGGCCGAAAACGCGTGAGTTATTGCCACCATATGCTGTGGCCGGCGAGAGCAGAGGAGGAGCAGGGATGACATGCAAGGGAGGCCAAAAAGTACAAATTTCAGCTGGAATGAACTCTCTACCAGTTTGTTGAAGGAATCACGGCCTATCGTGGTGCAGTTTGAGAGAACCAGACGGCAGACCAAGAGACGCACGAGGAAGAAGACAGGTCAGTGAAGACCGGTTCACGTAGACTGGTCCGGTCCAATCGCACTGGATTTCCCCAATTTGTGCAATTCAATCGTTTTAGCTCCTCATAATTTTTTTAAATGTAGGACCTTTTTGAAGAGTTCGGTGAAATTTGGAATTTTTGGAGGCCCAAACTCGAACAAAAAGTGTTGTGCATATCAAGTAGCACCTTGAAACTTTGGATTTAGCTATGCTTGTAGAGAGCATGTTATAAGAATTTGAGACTAAAGTGAACTGACTTGATCCATGATAAGCATAGCAAACTGTTATGATGCACGCACTTCTAGAAATTGATGGATTGAACTCTGAGCTAAATGAAATCAAACACATGACTAGGTATTCGTGTTCAGAATAATTTGCTATGTCCCGGTTGATGATTTGTTTGTGCATGTGATGCTAATGTGGTTATACAGGGATGATTAGGGATTTGGAAACCCCTAATCGTGAACTCAGCTAGACTGTGTTGAGGATCCGGATAACTATTTTAGAACTGGCATGATTTTATACTTGTACCCTGTGAGCAAGGGTCTTCCCTTGTACCCTTGAAAGTTGGTTGAAAGTGTATTGTGGTTGTGGTTAGGGGGTTTCCAACCACTTCCTAATAGTGATCTTGTTCAAATGACAGCAAGGACCATATAAGTAAATGAGAACTTGTTAGCAGAGGGTTGCTACATCCCTTGTGAACAAGGATTATGGGTTGAAATTGACGTTAGAGTAGCACCTCATGGGCCTATGATACAGATCTAGAACGATGATAATGATGAAGGGGACTAGCAAAACGATGATCTAAGATACCTTAAGAACTTAAGATGAACTTTGAGGGCTGGAGGTCCAAATAAGACCAAGAGATGAAAATTTGATAGCTTCCGCTAATTATCCTAAGTTGAGCTTAGGTGGAACGAATAAACCTAGGGTGTAGCCTAAAAAGATCCTTTACTTGGGAACAAACTCTCAAATAAGAATAGGACACCGAACGAACGAACAAAATGAATATGGTAAGATTTAATAACGAACTAATAACCACCAGTGGGCTACTTACTGAATATATTTTTATACTCATCCTTGCTACTTCAATTTTCTTTTTAGATGAGGCTTGATGGCACGGTTGAGGCGGCAGCTTACACGAGCTAAAGTTGGATTAGATTGGTGTCTTGTTATTCTCATACTTTGTATAAACTCAGCATGTCATATATCATACAGAAACTATTTTCAAAATCATTTGGCTTATTTCTCAAAGTGCTTTTTTAATATAATCATCTAGTTATTGCATCACTATTGAATGAAATCATATGCTTTTAGTAAATTTGTCAAAAAAACATAAAGTAGTATGCCAACTCAAAAGAAATTTAACATACCTTCTTCCTGAGAGAAACTTTTTCATCAAAAATATGTGGAAATAAATGATTGAATGCATGACTCTGTCTCTTGGTAAGCTGACTTGAAGAATCCAATTCCCTACCCACTGATGATTCACTTTGAGTATTATCTCCAGATGAACTCCTGTCAGTATTTCCTGAAAGCATATTCAGATATAGGAGAGCATATAGCTTAACAAAAAATCCAAAGTCCCACATTTATTTTCATAGATGCGTGCATCCAACCAATTTACAGCAGTGTGCAATTGTAGGAAGATGTTTCTGGGATGGGTTATGTGGCAGAATTCTTCATTTAACCAGAAACAAACAAATCATTGATAGATGAAAGACAGAAAAATGTTCAAGGATACAAATTTCCCAAGGGATGGAGGAAACAAAACAACCAAACAAACAAAGTAATGGCCTTCAAATAACGAAAACCAAACAAATAAAGTAATGACCTCCAAATATTACAAGAGCCAAAAGATAAATAAAACATTGAAGAAGAAAACCGCCAAAGAAGATCTCGAAAAAAGCAACAATAACCACTTCCATTATTAGCAGTCTGATTTTTAAAATAATGTCTCTCATGCTTCAAAAGTTGCATCATGCAACAGCCCAGAAGAAATGATTTCCCTACCTCTGACAGCAAGTATGAGGAGACACTTCCATATAAATTTTTTGGAGTGATCATTCGCTTCACCGATTTTCAGAAGTTGATCTTTGAATTTATTTCATTTCATTACTTATAGTTAAAGACAAAATATTCTGCACGCTTTTTCCCTTCAGATTCCTCTTTCTCCATAGATCAATAGGAAGAAGACCTTAGACTTTAATCCAACCCACATTGCATGGGGTGACTTCGAAGAAGCCACGTGTTTGTGTTTTACATTTTTCAAATTTAAGATAAGAAATTCCTACTTTCACTCAAGACTGATTCTCATTTGGACGTAGCATAAGAGCCTTGTGAGTATCAAAGGCATTAATAACACATCTTTCTTCAGCACCTCAATAATGAAGTCTGGCAATTATTACGGTATGTTCCCATTCAATCTCTGAAATTCTTCTTTTTTCAGTCAAAACTGCAAATTCTTATTCTTCGCCTCAATATAAAGGCCCCTCGAAACAGCAAAGTAAATAAATAAATAAAAACCTAACTCCTCACAAGATTGAACCCTTATCATGAAACTGTAATGAAACAAAAGATGCTTAAGGACCTCCTCCATCATAGAACAAACTCTTTATTTTGAGCCAAAGAAACACCAAAAAAAAAAAAACTCAAGAGAACAAGCGAACTCCAAAGGACATGATCAAAATCCTCAAATGTACTCTTGTGCTAAACAAAAAGGACAAATAATACAAGTGGTCCAATGTGCTAACTCTCCCATGCCAGACCTACAAGAAAAGAACTTAACCTTTTTGGATTTATTAATCTTCCACATCAAGAAAAAATTGGGTGACTAGAGGAAGGATCGTATGGAAGAATGAAAAATGATCTACAAGAAAACCTCAATGAAGACATGGGAGCCCAATAACAAATATCTCTTCTTACCCCCTAACAATGACAAAAGAGTCATAGAAAATGTCCTCTCCGGGATCCAACAAAGGGTAACAGAATCCAAGAAAAAATGAGTTACAAATACCCAAAGAAGATATTACATAAACCAAGTACATAGTCTCATTAACGATAAAGAGTACAAGTGTAACGACCTGATTTTCAATACCTCAAATCACAGGTTGCCACATACAGTCAAGGGTAAGAAGGGCGGTAAATTTTCCTTTTGTAAAACGGGAGACAGAAGGAATTTAAAATTTAAAAATGCATTCGAAACCAACATAAAAGTAGTTTAAGGGTAATATCCGCAGAGTCAATTGAAAACGGTTTACAAAAAAATACATAAATTTCGAGAAGTAACATTTAAAATAATAATAAAATGACAAGGAAGACTACTCGATCTAAAGGGCACCCCCTGTAGCTACACGGCTCTGCATGCTCCCGCCATCAATAGTAGTCTACACTCCATCTGAAAAAAATAGAATAACATGCAATGACTATAAAATACTTAGTAAGCAACCTACTTGTAGACTCTTGTCGAACTTAGTCCTATACACGAAAACTTAAACTATGTGCTCATAACTATTTTTAATGATCGCCCAAACTGGGCTAAACGGCTATACCAAACTGGGTAGGTCACTGTGCTTATCCCCTCAGTATACCTCCTTTAAGGAGTACTCAATCCCTCTAAAGTTTACAACCACGAGGTTTTCTATTTTCTCTTGGCTCTAGGCTTCAAGTATGTCCAGGTCATTCATCAGTCTTGCTCAAAGTGTGCCTCGAGTCGCTATGGCTCATGGAAGGACCCTAGGGTAATACTCATAAGTCTAGAGGAGCCCTTTTTGCTCTAAACGGTGACCGTACTCCATACATATCTTCCTACTAAGCTCTAATCAATGGATTCTCCCTAATGGCGTTGGGCAACATTTACTTGTTCCTAAGATCAGTAAACTACCTGTCACCACACACATTCCAGGCTGGAACAATAACTACCTACTCATGTACCCTCATCGAGTTAGAACAATAAAATTACATGTCACTATGCCCTTTCCAGGCTGAGACAGTAAACTACCGGCTCATGCACCCTCATCAGGTTAGAACAGTAAAACTACCTATCTTAGGAACAGTAACTATTTGTTACTTTGCCTTTTCAGGCACGAACAGTAAAACTACCTATCAATACGCCACTCAGGCTGGATCAATAAAACGGCTATGGCTCTCCCCACTAGGCACCATCGATATGAACTACAGTAGTATACTCTCTATGGCTACTGATATCCTATATGGGTGATAACTAAGCCATGTGTAACAAGTAGACCATAACCACTGTTGGTTAATTCACGGATAAATGTTGTGCCCTATCCATCCCTACAAGGTACGTGGTCAACCCAAGGAGGCTATGGAACTCATGACTAGGAACTAGGACCAAAACACGTGAAACAGTAACTCATGGTCTATGGTAACAATAATTAGCGCTCTATGGCACATATCAATTAGTCCAACTCATGGCTAGGCAATAAAGGGTTATCCAAGCCCTAAATCATGCATAATAATGTATAAAGGCATACAACATGCTCGTCATGCTCATTACATGATAATAATCCAACCTTAGCATTCTAGAAAACATAAAAGCCTAATGGTCAATCAGAGTTCACAAATCATGCGTGCGGAAGCAATATAACTATAAATAGGACTAAGTTGTAAACTATTCACATTATCTCAGCAAAGTTATCATGAGATTAGGTTAAACTAGGCTCCTAAACATAATACTCAATCATCGTCCTCAATCTTAATCGACTCCTACAAGTATTTCTTAGAAACTTGCTCCATATGGTTACCTACTTGATTGTAGACTTCCTGAACTTGTCTTTGGTCTTCAAGGGTATTCCAAATTTCTCCAAAATTTCTCAATATGCCCTAAATTAAGTAAAAACAATAAAAATGATGAAAATGGCTAGCTACAAATTCGTTAAAGCGAAGGTTGAGAAGTTAATCGTTGACTATACGGTCATCTTCTCCAACTTGCATGCATGTCAATTTTCCTTCTTTCCATTCTTTTTTTGAAAAAATAAATCTTTTATTTATTTTCTTAAAATTCCTGGTGTTACAACAAGCAAGGGAACATAGTATTAAAAAGACTCTTAAAGTAAGTATTTGAGTCATCCCCCACGCCCATAGCACTTCACAAACTTGGATAAAAAAAGGAAAACCAAAACTGGTAGCTTTCCAATGTTTTGTGTTCGTCTTTAGATCCACAACTCAAAGCCTACTAAAAAATTGAGAACCATATTTGCTCATAATAACCCATGCCACAAAACACTAACCTCCAAGGGGAAAGGTGACAATCAAGCCAACAATGCCTTGCACAATCTCAATTTACCGCTGCCCAAACCCACAAGATCCAACAACCTTGACATCACTTATGTGACGCTCAAATAAACGAGAAGTACATGAAATGAACAGAGACCATATTCGAATAAGAGTGATTCTGAGAATATGATGGTTAAGAAATGTTTAAAACAATTAATAGTTACTACATGTATCAATAAGGTAGAATTTCTTTTTTGGTAGCTCAATCCTAAGAATTCTAAAGTTAAGTGTGCTTAGTTTGGAGCAATCTTATGTTAGGTGACCTCCTGATAATTTCAAAAAAGCATGCTAAAAGGACTACTATTGGTATGTAGGGATAGTCCTCACTCTTAGAAGTAATTCAGGACAAATAGGTAACATGCTCAAGTCACAGAGGATGTAAGGGAATACTGAGGTCATTAGGTGTCAATCCAAATTTCAAATTCTATTCCAAATCATAGGTATGAAGCATTACAAATGATACCAGAATGGAATCTCTCTCTATTTAATGTGGTTTAGGGATGAACCAAGACGGAAGTTGGTGGGTATGTGATGTTTGAGTAAAGGAAGAGTACATGAATGAACCAAGACCACGTCTAAATGAGAGTGATACTGAGAAAGGCCTAAAAGAATTTATAGTTACTACCTATACCAACAATGTTCACCTTCTTTTTTCGTTGCCTCAATCAAAGGACCTCCAAAGCTAAGTGTGCTTAATTTGGAGCAATCCTATGTTGGGTGATTTCCAAAAATTAATAAACAAGTGAGTTGGGATAAACTATACTAAAAGGACATGTGTTAGTATGTGGGGATAGTTTTCACTCTTAGAATTACTTCAAACAAGTAGATAATGTAGTTATGTCACACGGGAATATCAAGATCATTAAGTGTCGAATCCAAATTCCAAATTCGTCTAAATTATGGAGATGAGATGTACAACCTCCCACTTGACTAAATGAGATCCCACCATCGTCAACACCTTCCCACATAAAAAGTCGCTTATAATCATTATTGTAAATTGATGGGAGATTTCAATTACGGCCAGGAGAAACATAAGAGGTTCAAAGATCTAAATAGTATTTAGTAAATATTGTAAACACCCATGAGATTTTATCACCAAATATTGTCCACAAGTGATGACTGAAGCAACTTTCAAACCCCTTGAGTATTTAATAAATCCCTCAAAACACAATTTCAAAAATTTTACAACCTAAATTCCAAGGAATTCTTGGGACGATTCTGGCATGAACAAGAATCTTTACTTGGAGTAACAATGCGTATTAAAGCATCCAAAATGCAGAAATACTAACACAACGTACTAGAGTTTCATCGATTCCAATATTCATTCTATGACAATGGGGATAAAAGACCAGAAGTCTCAATTTCCATAGAACAACAAAAATACCTCCACCTTTGGAATAGAGAAAAAGACGAGATACGAACCCGAAGAAGAGAAAATGAGATCACAGTGGCCGTCGCCGTCGCCATCGCCATCGCCGTCCGAGTCCGTGGATAAAGAGGCATCACTGGAACGACTGGAAGAAGAATGGGGAGATTGTGGGGTGATTTCCAAGCGGTGCATGGAATTTGGCAGGGGATTGATCGGGGGAGATTGTGGGGCGGTTTCCAAGTGCTCCATGGAATTTGGCAGGGGATTGATCGGGAAGAAAATGAGATTAAAACTTCCGAAGAAGAAATGATCGGAAGAATTGGGAAAGTGAGAGAAATTCAAAGGTGGGTAAATGGAGTAGGTCAATCGAGTATGAATTAGAAGACAAACAAAAGCGAACGGAAGAATATTGGGCCATGGAGATTTTGTAGATGTGACTGTCAACAATGGCGATCAAACCCGCCAGCGAAGATGACAGTTAACCAACTGTCCAATTGTCCTGGTTCGATGCCTTTTCTATCAAGTTCTTAATTTCATGGTCATTTTTTATTTTTTATTTGAATGAAGTTTTTGGCATGAAATTACTCTGACACTGATCTCCAACCATTTTAGTCGGTCCCTCGAAACGGTTTTTTACCTTATTGAAATAGTTTGAGTTAACTGCTTATTGAAATAGTTTGAATTAACATTAAATGTCTTAAATCATTTATTTTGTCTTGATTTGATTTTGTGGACCCACGTATGGCCTAGACCAACCATTTTAGTGGTTCTGTTGTTGACTTGATTGGACAAATTGTATGACACGTGTCTCGTGGTCCCCACACTTGTCATTATGTTAAGTATAAAAGATGATTATAAGTTATGGAGACCTCATGCATTTTTGTGTATCGTTTGTATCGGGATACTTCTCCATTATGATTAGTATGAACGATAGGTATGTGTTTAACTTTGAATAGAAAAATCGGTTCTCTACATACCTATCGTGTTTCTTGATCATCAAGATAATTCTAATTTAATCCTTCCTTCGAAATTGAAACTGAATTGATTTAAGAAAATTAGTCGTATGTGAAAATTATTGATTCACATAACCCTTATCGGGTTCTTTCCTCGGAATTGAAATACGTCGTGCAATAGAAACAAAGTTGAAAATTCTCGTATGAAGAGGGGAATGCATATCTCATGTTCTTTCTTTTTTTTTTTTTTTTGTACATAGATATCACCAAGTAGCTAGGGGTATTATATGCATACATACGAATAATATACATGGTTCTCTTTAAGCTCTTTTTAATCTCAAAATCTCTATTATTGGTCACCACCAATGAACAAGCGGTGGAAAATCACACCCTCCTTTTTATAAACATACATTTGATTGATATCCAGATTTCAAACTAGAACCACCTCCCATGGCTTAGACAATGAAGTTGCAGGTGAGGTCATTTGTTGCTTTGCCACCTGTCCTCGAAATATAATATCACAACAATCAGTGATGCTTCAAACAGTACCATCTCATTTGATTGTTTGTTAGTATAATAAACGAGAAAGTGAAAATTGGATGGAATTAAAATTTAATAATCGAGGAGATTGAGAAACCAACCAAAATCATATTTTAAAATTTTGGAACATTACTCGAAATAATTATTACGCTTGTAAAGGTTTAGTAAACAGTTCATTTCTTTGTACAACCGATTTAAGTAAATCTTCTCGACCAGCTTAAGATCTACTTACCTTATTGGCTTGTGTATTGTGCCAGACTTTGTCCATTTCCTCAAAGACAATGTCTATGGTGGGTCGACCCTTGCTTGATTTGGCCACACAAAGAACAGCAACTTGTAAAATGGATTCAAAGTCTGCTTTGTTTACGTCTTCTTTTAGTCTTGGATCTTCAAAATCACTCAAGGGTCGTAGCCCCATGTTTACATCTTTAGCCTGGAATGAAATCTCCATACAAGTTAGGATATTCTCGGAAGTGATTACAGAAATAGTCATTTCGTTCGTAAGTAATCTAGTAAAATAATTTTTTGTTTAATCATGTTGGAAATTGAGATATGTGAGCGTTTATCAAAATCAAACAAACCAACTATTCGAAAACTAAACCCGTCATGAAAAAGTCCTAACCAATCGAGCTAGCTTGACTCGATCATTTTTAGGGTTTTGGAATTTATCAGCTTACAACTCTATCAGATTTTGTCAAACCCTGACTAGGTTTTTGCACGTGGCTTTACCATCGTATACCGTTCGATCGTATTTAAAAAGAAAAACCCTAAAAATTTCAATGACCCTGATCACAATACATACGATAAACTTAAGAAACGAAGTGAATACCTTTCTTGTTAATTGATCTCTTGCATCAAGATCCAAATCAATGACCTTTTGACCTGATAGAAGCTGAAGAGCCACAATGCCAAAACTATAGATATCACTTGCACAAGTAAGCTTGGCATTGCTCATGTACTCAGGGTCCATGTACCCAATGGTTCCTCTAACATCTGTGAACACTTTTGTCTCATCCATTCCCAACATCCTTGCCAACCCAAAATCCGACAATTTTCCGTCTAATTTCTCAGTCAAAAGTATGTTCGTGAGCTGAAAAAGTCATACATATCGTTAATAAATACATTAGAGAAATTATAAATTGTCCCGTGTTTGATAATCATTTTGGGTTCGTTTGATAATCACTTTACGTTCGTTAACGCACATGGAGTGGTTTTTTATGATTTGAAAAATAAAGGAACTAATGAAATTAAGATTGTACCTTAATGTCTCTATGAACGATGCAACCATCTGCACGTTGATGAAGATACCTAAGTGCAAGGGCACACTGTCTTAAAATCTTTACTCTTGTTTCCCACGATAGTAAGGTATCTTTTCCTAAAAAATATCGTAACATTTTGAAAATATAATCTCAACATGGATCTTTTCGTAATTTCACATCAACTTAATCTCTCCAAATTCACTAATTAGGGTTTAGGGTTTGGTAAAAGGTCTCTCGGCTTTAATGATTTTACACATTTACCCTTCTAAATCATATTTGTTAAAATTGAAAATTAAAAAAAAACACACATACACACAAATAATGTGTAACAGCCAAAACCCAGTTATAGCAGATATTGTCTGCTTTGGTTTGTTACGTATTGCCGTCATCCTTACGGTTTTAAAATCCGTCTATTAGGGAGAGGTTTCCACACCCTTAAGAAATGTTTCGTTCCCCTCTCCAACCGATGTTAGATTTCACAATCCACTTCTTTGGGGGCCAGTGTCCTTGCTGGCACACCTAACCTGGCTCTAATACCATTTGTAATAGCTCAAGCCCACCGCTAGCAGATATTGTCTGCTGTGGTCTGTTACGTATCACCGTCAGCCTCACGGTTTTAAAACTCGTCTACTAGTGAGAGGTTTCCACACCTTTAAGAAATGTTTCATTCCTCTCTCCAATCGATGTGGGATCTCACAATCCACCCCCTCGGGGACCAGCATCCTCGCTGACACACCTCCAGGTAACCTGGCTCTAATACCATTTGTACCAACCCAAGCCCACAGCCAGCAGATGTTGTCCGATTTGGTTTGTTACATATTACCGTCAGCCTTACGATTTTAAAAAATGTTTCGTTCTCTTCTCCAACCTACATGGGGATGTCACGTAATCAAATAATTAATAAAATAAAAGAAGAGAATAGATATTTACTCATGAGATGCTGAGCCAGGTTGCCTTGCTCACAATACTCATACACAAGATATTGCTCCCCATTCTCAATGCAACATCCCAAGAGGCACACCAAATTGGGATGCCTAACCCTAGACAGCCCATCAACTTCTCTAATGAATGAATCTGAAGTGTTGCTTTGAAATATCTTCTTGATCGCTACTAGCTGTCCGCTGGGTAGCATACCCTTGTACACTTGCCCGGCACTGCCTCGTCCTAGACTCGTCCTCTCATTCCCAAAGTCGAGTGCCTTATTGATCTCATCCTTTGTGAACCGGTATAGTCCCGACCATATCGATGTGTCATTCGAGGCGCATGGTTTGGTTTTCTTGTTCTTTTTGGTTGCATGTTTTACTAGAAGGACGATGAGTAATAGAACTAGCACACTTGCTATGGCAGATAATAAAGCCTTTGCTACCGAATCTATCGATATAGAATCGTACAAATTATTCGATAGATTAAAACAATGAAATTATAAGTTCAAAATACTGTTATGTCTTAATTTAATATGAATCCGAGAGTAATGTCGAAGTCTTACCTTTGATTTTGAAGTAGCCAGAAACTGGTACCAGCCAAAACATAAAGAAACAATATTAGAAGCTTTGAAAGTATAAAATTATTTTAAACATTCCTTGTAAATATCAAAAAATTTAATTTTAAACTAAAATTACTTCAAAATTTGGAGTAAAATAAGAAAAAAAAAATTATTTAAAACTTTTTAAAAATTAAATTCTTTGAAAGTTAAAAAAAAAAAAAAAAAAAAAAAAAAAAAAAAAAAAAAAAAAAAAAAAAAAAAAAAAAAAAAAAAAA